TTCTCTTTCTCTCACCGTTGGTGGTGTTACCATTTTACTTGCCCTGGTAAAAGGGATGGGATGGAAAGGAGAGATGAGAAAGAAAGTGCTCGGACTGGGATGGTCGATGTGATAAAGTAGCGGGGTAGGAGGTGGATCACGCGATCTCGGGTGAAGGGGGAAGGTTGAGGTCGAGATCGAAGGGGAGCATCTTGTGCGAAGCCGGAGAGCGGTGGCTAGGGTGGAGATCCACGATGGAGGAGTCCGAGTCGCTATCAACGCTGCAGGCAATCGCGGCCCGCGGATCGGCGAGGATCGTGGGCGGACACAGCGTGAGGAGGTGGTGGCGACTGATCGCAGCCGCTTTTTCCGATCTGACCGTCATGTCGAAGAGGAGGCGCGGGTATCCCGCCGGCACTGTGGTGGCGGCGACGGTCGGGTATGGGTGGAAGGGAAACCGCTTGCAGCCGCCGACGCCGCCACGGTGGTGAATGTTGAGGTCGAGCGGGGGCGGGAGCGGGATCTTGAGCGGCGGTCCGGTGGCTTCCCTGCCGTAGGACTCCACCGTGATGCTCTGGCTCCTGGGGCTGCCGGGGTACGGGTAGGAATCAGGGCGGGGGAAGTTGGTCTTGGCCTTGGAGCCGCGGAACTGGCGGGCGGCGTCGTCGTACGCCCGAGCCGCCTCCTCGGCGGTGTCGAAGGTCCCGAGCCAGACCCGGCTCTTCTTCCCCGGGTCCCGTATCTCCGCCGCGTACCTCCCCCATGGCCGCTTCCTAACCCCCCGGAAGTGCGTCTCCTTCCCCCCTCTTCCTCCTACTCTGCCGGCGGTGGCCAACTTCTCGGTGGACGCCATGGGTAAAGATCTGTCACCGTGTTATTTGCACTCTTTTTATTTCCTTTGCCCAGCTAGATGACGACTCTAATCCGAGAAGCGAGGGTGGGTTAAAGGGTGGGGGTGGGGCGTTTATATATCGATCGATCGCTCGCAATTTACATTTGGATGGTGGAGCGGCGAAATGGAGGACACTTGGGCGCCGGCGGCCTTTGCCCACCATCTGTCCGCATCGACCGCTTGTGCGCCGTCTAACTCGGATCACGCAGTGGGTCCCGCCTGCCACAGACAGCCCATGATGTGTCATCTGGACCCGCGGCTGCTGAGCAATGGGCTGCGCTGCGGTCCTATCCGAGGCGAAGCGGCACGGAGAGGTGATCTCGGTGAATGGAGGGCCGAGATGAGCCGGTTGGGTAACAATGACCTATCGGATATGGGCTACAGGGACGGGCTTGCTGTTAATTACAGTGGGCGGTGGTACGTGGCGATATGGTCCCATCGTTGGTGGTCTACTAGACTCGCTTCTGTTGGCCATCGTCTCCTGGTAGAAGAGTTAGGGGATAACTGTTGATATTATGATTGGAATCAATGAGATAATCGATCCATTAAAATTTAAAATAATTAAATAAATAATAAATAATAATATTGATGAGGATAATAATTGCGATAAGACTCGCATGACGTCAGTTGTCCCAAATAACGCCTCAAAGCACTTGGTCAACACAGACCGGAACACCGGTCGAGGCACATTAATACTCTGATCAAGCTCGATCGCTCACGCCATGTCAACGTCGGTGTCAGATGCTACCAGAAGTACGATCCTGCCCCCTGCGGGCAGGCACATCAAACAACGGTAACCCTCACTATAAAAATCCTCGCGCTCCGAGGGGAAGGAGAGGGAAAAAGAGAGAGGCACACAAGAAGACACAACTTAGCTAAAGAATTCCCCTGCCACTATCCGCTAACTTGATCGTCGAAGGGGTAGGGTCGAGCTTCCCGACCCGACCTGTGTGCAGGTGCGAAGACGGTGGCCTCCCACTAAACGCCCAAGCGAGGAGCCCCCTTCTAGAGGGAACAACGACCCCTTTTCCGATCGGACCATCGCAGCCGACCACCTCAGCGGACTCAAAGGTCATCCTGAGAAGATCCCCCATCATCTGGACCTGAGGCCACAGCTTAAAGTTGGTTACACCACCATTTTGGCGCTAGAAGGAGGGCCCTGATGTCGAGGGATCACCTGATTGGCTCAGACGAGCCCGCGGTTGAGAGGTTGCACCCGATTGGAGCTTCGGGGGAACATCCCCCGCACGGAGATCATCGTGACGAACACCCCGCCATGACCTCAGAGCGATATTGGCGGATATTCAACGACCCGAGCTTGTCGCCGCCCGACGGTGCCCTCGCCGACCCGTCGCCCGTGTCGTCCGAGGCCTTTCACGACCTCACCCACCAAGTCCGAACTATGACCGCTATGGTGCAATCCATTATTCCACTTGTTTCTCGTCCGCCGCACTTGCCGGCCGTCCAACCACTGCGGCAACATGAGCCACCCGTTCAGGCTCACACGCCACCTCGAGAGCTCCCTACTTCGCTTCGGGTCCCATCGGCCCCACTCGAGGATCGAGTGACGGCAAACCCGAGGCGTTGTCTTCGGATTCTACGGACTCCCTGCAAGCCTAGTTGTGCTTCGTCAGCCAACGACTCGACGAGGTGCAGAATGAGCTTCACAGGTCCAAGGGAGAGCTCGGGGAGGACGCACACCAGGGATCTCTGTTCACATCCGAGATACAGGATCATACGGCCCCCCCGAACTTCCGACTCCCCTCCCTAGACGCTTACGATGGCTCCACTGACCCGGCGGACCCTGTAGCTGCTTTTTCGCGCCCAGATGGCACTGTATGGAACTTCTGATGCTTTGATGTGCAGGGCGTTTCCCACCACCCTGAGGGGGTCGGCTCGCACGTGGTACAAAGGCCTGAAGACCGGGACTATCGCCTCCTTCGACCAGCTAGTCAAGGACTTCGAGCTTAACTTCCTTGCCTACACCCGGCCGAAACCGTCCGTGGCACTGCTCATCAGACTCAACCAAAGGGAGTACGAGCCCCTCTCACATTTTGTGGATCGCTTTGCCACGCAAATACGGGGTTTGCCGGACGCTCATCCCTCTCTGTTAATGCAGGTGTTTATGATAGGCCTGCGACCCTCTAGAATTTCCTGGTCCCTCGCGGAGCGACTCCCCACCACGATGTCAGAGATGCTCTAGTGGGCTAACCAGTCCATCGCGGCGGAGGCCTGGGTGGCCGTGAGGAGAAGGGACGACCTTTAGCAACGGGCTCCATAGAAGAGGTCAAGCACCCGCGGTGGCTATCCGATGTAGTCCTCGTGAAAAGAAATCTAGGCCCTGCCTCAGTCTCTTCCGGGCGAAGACTGCCCGAGTCCACGCCTGCGCGGCCTGCCCGCCTGCGCCGTGCTCCTCGGCTGCATGTTGCCCGAGACCACGCCTGCGCAGCCTGCCCGCTTGAGTCAGACTCCTCGGCCGCAGCCCGCCTGCGCCATGCTCCTCGATCACATGTTGCCCGAGACCACGCCTGCGCGGCTTGCCCGCCTGAGCCATACCCCTCGGCCGTAGCCCGCCTGCGCCGTGCTCCTAAGCCGCATATTGCCCGAGACCACGCCTGCGCGGCCTGCCCGCCTGAGCCATA